AGTTCTCCAGTTTGGGGGGGACTCCAAAAATTCAGTCACTTAAAGTGCGGGGTTGCAACATTGTGACGATGATGAAGAGGCTGCAGGGAGCCTGCTCAGCTGGCCATGGGTTCGAGAATCCTAATGTCCCAAATCCTCCCTGGAGCTGGCGGTGCTGGGGGCTCACTCTGCCTTGGACATCGGAGAGGATGACTGGGCCCTGGGGTGACTGGGATTTCCTGGGCAGTGACAGCAGCCTCCCAGCGAGGAGCGTCCCAGCTAGCTGGCGCCCGTTTGTTTCATTGCTTTGTTCCACAGTGACCGGCAAGCATGTCGGGGCTCCAGAGAGAGGCTTGCCCCCTGCTGTCTCACCTGGCCTTGCCTCCACCTGTGCAGAACCTAATACTGAAGCTGTTAAACTTCAGGTCACCCAGGAACTCATTTTCCCTGTGGAGGAGCAGGAAATCCCTTGACCTCCCCACCACCATCAGACATGAGCCACGGCTTCAGTCTGGTTTTTAGGAAGGTTGCATGGACCACCTCAATGCCCTCAGCTAGAAGGCCTTGTTACTATCTTTTTTAATGCCGTTGATGAATATGTGCTCACTTTAGCGCATGGCTTTTCAACCTCACCACTAGACACTGGGCCAGATAATTCTTCATGTGGGCAACTGTCCTGACCATTCTAGAATGTGCAGCAGCATCTCTGGCCTCTACCTACTAGATGCCACTGGCACTGCCTTTGCCCTGTTGTGATCCAAAACTTCTCTAGTCATTGCCTCATATCCTCTGGGCGGCAAAGTCATCCCCGATTCAGAGCACTACTTATTAAACAATTCTGTGAAGCAGGGATTTGTTAACCCATTTTTATGGATGTAAAATGCAGATTGGAGGAGTTAGTAACTTGTTAAGGGTCTCATCATTATGCCACCTCCAAGGCACCTGGGTGCTCTCCACCCCTTCTTATGGCTACTACCTAGTCACCCACATAAAACAATCATTTAGAAAATATTTGTCAAGCACCTACTACATGCCAGGCAGTGTTCTTTTTGCTCAGTAACTACCATGGTACTTGGTATTAGGCAGAATGGGAGGGAGAAGGTGTAATAGATAGACAGCTCTGTTCGTTTCCTATTGCTGTTGTTACAATATACCGCAAACTGAGTGGTTTATCTTACAGTGCTAGAGGTCAGAAATCCGAATTCAGTTTCACTGGTCTAAAATCAAGATGTCAGGCCCTAGCTGGTTTGGCTCAGTGGATAGAGCATGTGGACTGAAGGGTCTCGGGTTTGATTCCAGTCAAGGGCACAGGCCCAGGTTGCAGGCTTGATCCCCAGTAGGGGGCGTGCAGGAGGCAGCTGATCAATGATTCTCTCTCACCATTGGTGTTTCTCTCTCTCCCTCTCCCTTCCTCCCTGAAATCAATAAAATAATTATCCTATATAATAAAAGGCTAATATGCAAATCGACCGAACAGCAGAACAATCAGTCACTATGACATGCACTGACCACTAGGGGGCAGATGCTCAATGCAGGAGCTATCCCCTGGTGGTCAGTGTGCTCCCACAGGGGGAGCGCCGTTCAGCCAGAAGCCGGGGAGGGGCCTAAGCCATCAGTCGGACATCCCCTGAGGGCTCCTGGACCACGACAGGGTGCAGTCCGGGCTGAGGGACCCCCCCACTCCGAGTGCAGAATTTTGTGCACCGGGTCTCTAGTAGTAATAATAAAAAGATGTCAGCAGACCTATATTCCTCTGGAAGCTGTAGAGGAGAATCCCTTTTCTCCTTCAAAGCCAGCAGTGTAACATCTTTCCTCCTCCCTGACCTCTGCTTCCATCCTTATATCTTCTCTTTCTGACTCTAATCCTCCTGCCTCCCTTTTACAAAGACCCTTCTGATTACATCAGGCCTGTCTGGATAATCCAGGATAATCTCCCCCATCTCAAGATCCTTAATTTAATTACATCTGCGAAGTCCCTTTGTAACTGGACAACCAGTGGGTCTGGGCTGCCTGTCACTACTTGAGCCAATTCAGCAGAGACAGGGTTGAGTCATGTATGAACGTTTATTCCAATACTGCCAGAGGTTTGGGAGAGCAGCAGGTCATCCACAAAAATCTGGTCTGCACCTCCCTATAAGCCAGCTGCTTATATTGGGTTGAAGGACAAAGATCACATGGGGAAGTAGGCAAAAGGGTATTCCAAATGGGCAGTTTGCAGGTAATGCAGGATGGAGATTTGCAAAGGGCTGGGGGTCTTCAAAGGGCTGACGGTTCTGGTTTCTGCAACAAGGTTGTTAATCTTTCTTTTTTATATAAAGGAAATATATATATATTTAAATATATTTTTATTGATTTCAGAGAGGAAGGGAGAGAGAGATAGAAACATCAATGATAAGAGAGAATCATTGGTTGGCTGCCTCCTGCAGCCTACTAGGGACCGAGCCCACAACCTGGGCATGTGCCCTTGATGGGAATGGAACCTGGGACCCTTCAGTCTGCAGGCTGAGGCTCTATCCACTGAGCCAAACTGTCTAGGGCAAGATTGTTATTCTTTCCATGATAATAGGCAGCTCCCAGATGGGGAGGATGGGCTGCATTTCCAGGTGAACAACTCCCAACCAGGTTAGAATGTGCCTTCTTTAATCAGAACAAAACAATCATGGTTAACAGAGTGTGATGAATATTTCTTATAATTATATTCTATTTCTGCCCTAATACTTTTGCCATGTAAAGGGATTTTCACTGGTCCCGGGGATTAGAACGTTGACATATTTGGGGGCCACTTATTCAGCCAACAACAGTCTTTCCTCTAGCCCCCAAAGATTTATTTCCATCTCACATACAAATACATTCATCCCATCCCAAGTTTCCCAGAAGTCTCAACCCATTACCATATCAACTCAAGTCCAAAATATGTCTAAGTCTCCTTTATCATCTAAATCAGGTATGGGTGAGATTCTGGGTCTAACCCATATTAGGGCCAAATTCCTCTCCATCTGTGTTCTTGCGAAACTGGAAAGCCAGTTATCTGCTCCTAAATACAATGGTGGGTCGGGCACAGGAGAGCAGTTATAGCAATTCCCATCACAGTAGGGAGAAAATGAAAGGAGGAAGGATGTCACCAAACCCAAGCCGTCTTGAAATCCACTGGGCCAACTCCATGAGGTTTCAAGGCCCAAGAATAATTCTGTGTGGCTCAGGGCTCCCCCTCTGGGCCCGTGGCTCCACTCTTGGAGTCATCCTTCCTCTTTCCTGAAGGGTAAATGTACTTCAGCGAAGTCGTGTTATCAACCTGTTTCCTGCCTGTAGGATTTTGGGTGTCTGACAGCCTTCTCTTATTTTCTCCTTTCTCTCTCTCATTCGGTTCTAGCTGGCAGTGTTTCTGCTGGATGACATTTTCAGAAACCATGTGGGTCTCCTAGTATGCCTCTAGAATTCATTCCATTAGACAACAAGTTCCTCCATAGATCTTTCCTGGATAATCCCATCTCTACTCCTGGCGCCGGCTGAGATATCTAAGGGGATCCACAAGCCCATGTCTGATCTCTTCAAAGAGCCCTCAGTGTGATTGAATGCTCTAAACTTTGGTTCCTCTGCAATATTAGCCAAAGGTTGTTGAGTCACCCCCTTGGTTTTCCCTCCAGAACATGCTTTCTGACAGGGTATCTCTAATTTAATGTCTTTTGCAACCCAAATAGAATGAGTTTCCCAAATCATCACATCCCTTTTTACTTAATAATTTTCCCCTCAGACTATCTCTTTCCTCTCACAGTTTTTCCAATGCAGCAAGAAGAAACCAGACTGCAGCTTCAACACTTGGTTTGGAAATCTCTTCAGCTAAATATCCAAGCCCATCATTTACAGAGTTTCACTTACCACATAATGTAGGACACAATTCCGCTGCGATCCTGCCACCGTGTAACAGATTCCCTCTCCTCTAGCTCCCAATAGCATGCTCCTCCCTTCCTCACCAGCAGCACGTTAATGTGCATGTTTGTCACTGGTCTGTGTAGGATTGTTTTTCTAAGACGATCAGTTTTCCACGCAGTGCTTCTCACTTCCTCAGAAGCCCTCACTGAGCCATGGGGCCAGGGATTGGGACTTGGACATCTTTGGGGAGTCATATTCAGCTGACCCCAGCCACTGTTAGCCACCAAACCTTTATTGATTCCTTTCCTTTTCTCCCACGTCTGTTAGATACTATTCGGGCTCCAGGGGTGGTCTAGCTAGGCTAACCAAACATACTGGTTTGCCCAAATAGTCCATTTTACATTTTTTCTCCCAGTGTAAATGTAGTAATATTCTTTTTCAAAAGTATCCTGGCTTTGTTGATAAATTTTTTGATCACTCTTGTCTTAATTCTTGGCCTTAAAATTGTAAATCTGCAATCTTATGAGACAAAACACATTAAAAAATTGTCAAGCAGTAATAGCTAAGTACTAAATATTGTGACATTTAGGTGCTTCTAAACATCCTCCAGTACACAGGACAGCCCCCACAACCGTGCACCAGACATTAACCATCTGGAATTTCAGGCTCATCTGGAGCCTTTGGGATTTCATATTCAGATACGGTCCCTGGGCCAACAGCACCAGCACTGCCTTGTTAGAAATGCAAATTCTCAGCTCTGTCCAGAACCCACCCAAGCAGAAACTGTGGGCAGGACCCCACAGTCTGTTTTAATAAACCCCAAACCAAAACATCTCTCTCTCTCTCACACTCACACACATGTACACACACGTGTGCACACACATACATGCACGTGTGCATGCACACACATTCTTAGTGGCAGGCCAGGCATGTGAACAGCACAGTTAATACTGTAAACACTGTTCTGTTCAGAGTTGCTTGTGTTCCTGCCTTTTGTTTTCTCGTCTTCAAAGTGATGACAACACATGGGTTGAGATGATTTGGGTAAATGTTAGTTTGGCGGGAATAGTTCTTTGGTTCTAAAGATCTATTTCAGATGATTTTTATCAAAGTGATATATTTCCTTTCTCACTTTTCTTGACCTTTGGCAGGAGCTCAGAAAAAGCCTAGAACTTAGTGTAAATCTACAAAGGAAGCAAAAGGACTGTTCCAGTGACGAGTATGACTCCATTGAAGAGGATGTGCTCTCTGAGCCCGAGACTGAGGACCAGGCCCTGGGGGGCAGTCCCAGACATGGCACCCCTCTTTCCAGGGGGGACTCCGTGCAGGAGGATGTTCCTGAGGACCAGGAGACGGCAGGACACCCTTCCCGGGGCCCAGACACCCTCGTGGTGCTGGAATTCAACCCGGCTTCCAAAGGTGAGCTCTGCCTTGTGTGGCGTTTCCTTGTCTTTGGTGTCTCTGGATCCAAAAGTCGGACTTAAGTGTCCAGCCACACTGTGAGTTCCGCTTGGATAGACCGTCCCACGGGCCAGGGAGGTGTACCAGTCAGGTCTCTGCTGGTTGCAAGAGGCAAAGGCCTCAAATGACACTGAAATCCCAGGTGGTACATGGCTGGCAGTGTGGGGGCTGCTTTATGCATCTACACGCCAACTGGGCTAAGCAAAAGGGACTGTGTTGGCTTGGAGAACTGAGGAGTCCAGGGCTTAGCAGGACTCATTTCTCTTCTCTCCTCTCCTCTCCTCCTCCCTGCCCTTCCCTCCCTTCCCTCTTCTCCACTCCCCTCTCTTCTCTCCTTTGCCTCTCCCTCCTCTGTTCATTCCCTTTCCTTCTCCTTCCCTTCCTCCCTCTCACCTCTGCCCTCTTTGTCTTGTTTTGGTACAGTTCTCAGGTAGGCGCTCCGCATACAGACACAGAATTGAGACACTGCTTCTGATGGCTTTGCAACTCCATCAGAAAGTGGATTTTTCTTACTAAAAGCTCCAGCAAAAGTCCCAGCCCTGGATTTGAAGCCCACATTGGGTCACATCTCTGAGCCCGTTACTGTGGCTCTGGTTGGCCAGTCCAGCTATGGGTGTGGTTATCACCACCCAGAACTCATGCACTGACAAGTTTCCAAAGGAAAATCAAGGCAGATCTGAAGACTGGGAGAGCATGCAGGGCAGACGGAAACCACAGCTGTCCACAGAGGAGGCTTTTCAGACAAGACCTGGGAAAGTAGAGTGAAACGCAGTGGGGCACGGCCGGGCCTGCCTGCTGCAGTCCTGTTCTCCACCTCGGCTGGCGGCTGGCGGCCTCTCCTGCTCCTCCTGCTGGGGTTCCCTATCAGGAACCAGATTTCAAGCCCAGCCAGGGGGGCAGCATGAGTGAAGCTAGGGAGAGAAATGGGGGATGTGTGAATCAGCCACTGTATTAGTCCACTCGGGCTGCCGTGACAGACCACAGGCTGGGGAGACCACAGGCCAGGGAGGACCACAGGCCAGGGGGACCACATGCCAAGGGGGACCACAGGCCGGGGGGACCACAGGTTGGAGAGACCATAGGCTGGAGAGACCACTGGCCAGGGAGGACCACAGGCCAGGGGGACCATAGGCCAGGGGGACCACAGGCGGGGGGGACTACAGGCCGGGGGGACTACAGTCCCAGGGGACCATAGGCCGAGGCTGGGGCAGCTTCAACAGCAGCAGGAACCTATTTTCTCCCAGTTCTGGAGGCTACAAGTCCAGGTGTTGACAGGGTTGGTTTCTTCTGAGGCCTCTCCCCTTGACCTGGACACATCTGTCTTCTTGCTGTGTCTTCAAAGGCTGTCCCTCTATGTGTGTCTATGTCCTAATTTCCTTTTCTTGTAAGGACGCCGGTCACATTGGATTAGTGCCCACCATGACTGACTTGTTTTACCTAAATCACCTCTTCAGAAACCCCGTCTCCAAGCACAGTCACGTTCTGAGGTGCTGGGTGTGAGGACTTGAACATAGGAGGTTTGGGGGGACATAGTAACGGGCAGCCACACCCAGGGGTTGATGTCACCAGAGAGAACGCTTGTCCCTCAGACATGTGTCTCTCACCTGCAGGCCCCTCGTGGGCTGTTCCCTTGGACTGAATCACCACATTTCCTCTCCTCGCCACTCTGAACCCTGACACCGGGCTCCCTGCTTTCCCCTCAAGACTTAGCTCAGAGGCTGCCTCCTCCGAGAAGCCTTCTTTGCGCTCCCAGCACGGCCTACTCTTGGTGCCTCCTCTGCTCCCACAGCAGCATCATGGCGCGGGGCTCGCTGGCCCAGCTGTCTTTCTCCCCTGCCCTGTGAGCTCTGCTAGGGCACAGGCCTGCTCTTACCCTCCACTGCATCCCGCCTGCAGCCCTCACCTGGCACATTCCAGCACTCAGAAAATCTCTGTCAAACAAATGAAGGCGCTATGCCCACCTAAAGCCTCCTTGATGCTTCTGTGTGCCCCCACTGGGTATGTTGCTGTGGGGAGGGGGAAAGGTGGAGAGGGCGGGGAGGGGGGGACCTGTCAGGAGGCTGACCAAGCCCCCATCCTGGAAATGGGGGGGGGGGCATGAGAGTCACTTCCAGGTGTGAGGACCAGCCCCAGAGGGAGAGCTGGTGGACCCTAGGCAGTGAGAGGGGTCCTGGGCATAGAACAAAGAGGGAACTTTACTTTCTTGACAGTTTACAGTTTTCACAATGAGATTGCTTGGCAGGCCCTGCATGGACCACGGTGATGTCTGTCTGTGAGCACAGAGGGGCCTGCTGTGTCCTCCTGCCACCCCATCTGCCCCTTTCATCAGCACCTCTTCCTGAGCCCCAGCAGGAGACAGATGCCCTGAGAGGAGCAGGAGGGAGGCCCAGGGCCTGTTCTCAGGTCTCTGCAGACCCCAACGTGGGGCTGGAGTCTGAACTAGCCCTAAGCTTGTACTCAAGGCCAGTCACCCGGAACCTGGAGAGCGGTGCTTGTTCTGGGCCGTTCGTTCGTTCGTTCATTCATTCATTCATTCATTCACTGGACACACACCTTTCCCAGGCAGGGTGCTGGGACAGCTGGCCCGGTCCCTTTTCCTACAGCTCTTCATCCTAGCAGGGAAAACACAGAAATAGCAATTGCCAGTATTTCTCGAGTTCTTATTAACATGAACCAAGCACTATTCTCGGGGCTGTACATTTAGTCCTCCATCTAATCCTCACCACAACCCCGAGGAAACTACCTGTTTTACAGACGGGGAAGCTGAAGCACAGAGCCGTCACGTAGCTTCCAAGGTCACAGCTAGAAGGGGCAGAGTGGGATCCAGTCTCCCGCACTCTGAGCCCAGAGCCTGCGCTCTTAATCACTGGGCTAAACAAATAAACCAGATGGCTCCAAAGCGACAGCTGGGCCCGTAAGTCCCCCACCCTCTGGTTTTCCTTCTGAGTGTGAGACAAATGAGAGAGAGGCCCGGGGCTCTGACACAAGGAGGGCGAGTTATTGCCTTTCCTGCTGATAAGAGCTGGATGGGTGGCTATTTGGGACTGCCCCCGAAGCAGACAGACCCCTACCACACAGATGTTGGCGGACTGGACCATGGCGGCATCAGTGTGGCGGCAGGAGGCCGTGTGCCCTGAGAGCGGTGGGGCGGCCGGAGGAGGGAGGAGGGCTGAGCCCTGATGGCTTCCTGCCCCTGCTCCCATCCCATTTGTCCTCCTTGTGAGTGGAGGCAGTGAGCGAGCAGCACAGAGAAGGGCAGAAGTTATTTTCCGATAACTGGGAAAGGAGAGGGCTGCGTTAGCTTAGGAATTCAGAGCCTTGAAGTTGTGAAGATGCTAAAACAGGCCACTGGTTGGGGTAGGGGTCAGAGAAGCCTTCCCAGAGGAGGGGTGTCTCAGCTGGGACAGGAATGAGGAGGAGGAGCAGCCATGGGAACAGCATCCCATGCAGGGAGCAGCAAGCACAGAGAGAGGGCTTGGAGAGGGAAGAGAGGGTGTACCCCAGGATAGAAGAAGGGCCAGGGAGTGTGGTACAGTTGAGGCCAGCAGTGATCCCAGGTCCTTTCCAGGAGTCTGGGTCCTTGGAGCCTGGGAAATATCCTTTCTAGACTTCTGATGGCTAAGGCAGACCCCCTGGCCACAGTGTCTGCAGGACTGTCTGTGGAGAGGAGGCGGACCGTAGATAGGGAATAGAGTGGTTAAGGACAGGGCTCCAAGCCAGATAGCCCTGGTCAATGCTGGGTCATCGCTTGACCTTGAACAAATGGCTTGGCCTCAGAGCCCTGCTCGGTAATAGTATGTATTAGTTTCCCATGGCTGCTGTAATCAATTGCCATAAACATGGAGGCTTAAAACAACACAAATTTACTGTCTCACAGTCGTGTTGGTCAGAAATTTGATGTGAGTCTCACTGGGCTAAAATCACAGTGTCGACAGCGCTGTGTTCCCTCAGGGGCTCCAGGGAAGGACCTGTTTTGGGGCCTTTTCCAGCTTCCACGGGCCACCGCTTTCCTTGGCTCAGGCCCCTTCCTCCATCTTTAGAGCCAGCAACGTTGCCTCTCTGTGCCTTTCTTACATAGTCACAGCTCCCCTGGACCTCCTCTTCTGCTGTCCCTCCCGTGTGTGTGTGTGTGTGTGTGTGTGTGTGTGTGTGTGTGTGTGCGCGCGCTTGTTGTTGTTATTGTGGTAAAATATACGTAATGTGGAATCTACCATTTGCATCATTTGTAGGAGCAGCTTGCTGTTAAGGCACTCACATTGTTGTGCAGTCATCACCACTGTCTTTAGAAGTTCTTCATTCCAAGCTGAACTGTTCCTCTTCCCCTTCCAGGCCCCCCTGTGATCACAGTGTGTCCCCTGAGATAATCTGTGATGATCGCCTTATCTTAATGTGGCGGACTAGCCCGGCTCATTCTCCTTTGCCACGTAACCTAACATGTTCACAGGTTCCAGGCTTGGACGTGGCCATCTTTGGGGGCCATTATGCTGCCCGTGGTCTATCTGCTAGGATGGCTGGGTGGCAACTGAGACGTGTGTGCCAAGGACCTAACGGTGCCTGGGCTCTCAAGAGCCTGTCACTTTTACTGTCACCAGCATGTTTTCAGCTCTTGGGGAGCCAGTCTTGTGGGCATTTGCCCCTCTCCATGCCTTGTCTTGCCCCATTGGACACAGTGGGTTGCCACACACTGGGCTGCCTTGGGCACTGGATGTCAGGCCAACAGGGAGCAGCTAATGCAAAAATGCAGAGAAACACAGGCCCTTCTGAAGTCAAAAGGGGAGTGGGGAGGGGTGAGGGCAAGTCTGACCTACTCCACATAGTCCCCAACATCTTCCCTGAGCTCCCAAGACCCTGCAGGACCCTTGATCCTGGGACTCCCTCTCCTTGGGGCCACCATGAGCCCCAGGACTTCCTCTGCTGGTACCTATCGCTCCTCATTCAATAGGTACTTTCCAGGTCTCCTGCCTTCCAGGCCACGGGTCCCGCCTCCAGTGCCAACTCTTCCCCCTGCCCGTGCTTCATGCTGTTCAGCCACTGCCTCCCGCCCTGTGGTCCTGAGCATGCCCTCCTCCTCCTGCTCCGACTCTGCTGGCTCTGAGGCCCTGGAGCCCTTTTCCCTAAACTTGAGCCATTTGCAAACCTTCCTCACAATTTTTTGCCATCTCCACAAACCGACTGTTCTAATGTTAGCTGTTATTTAACTAGAACCTTTCTTTTCTCCTTCCCACCCGCCTTTCTCTTTCTTTTCTTTATAATTCTAGGATGGTTCCAGCAGTTATGCTCACGAAATCAAGGGTTGATATGTTGGTTACATTTTTTTCCACACACATTCAGGCGTATAACTGCTTAAAACATTGTTTGTCCATGTGGCATCTGGAATCATCTCCTGTCCCACCAGTGGTCCAGGTGCCCTGCTTTGGAAAACATTGACTCTAAAGCGTGGCCCATGGGCCCTTCGCTGTCCACTCACCAGCCCAGGCCCCAGCCGCTCACCTGCCACATGCCTTCCAGCTGTCAGGCCTTCGCACTTGCTGTTCCCTCCCCAGCTTCGTGTCCCTGGTGACATCCTGGCCACCCGGGAGGGCCACCTCACTGTCTGCTGCACACCTGGCTGCCGTCCTGCAGGCTGCGTGCTCTCCTGCCCTGGTCCCAGAGCCCTCCGCCCGGCCCTGCTCACTGCTCCATCCAGCCGTCCTTCCCTCGCAGGCTGTGAGGTGTGCTTTGCTGCGTTCTTTCAGCTCTAGGGGCCTTGGTTGCACCATTATTTTACCTACCATGCTGCCAGTTAAACCCAACACCTACTCGTAAATGCTAAAATTTGAGAGCCTGTGTGTGTCCTAGAATATTTCATCTATTTGCCAAAATGCATGGTGGTCTCAGCAAACTTGTTTCATTGTCTGTGTTATCCACATCTCTGATTCCAAGCTAGCATGGTGCCTGGCAGGGGGTCGGGTTCAGTAAATATTGGTTGAATGAATAAATGAACGAACAAATAAACAGATGCCTGAGCAGAATGTCCCAACTCTGCTTGCACGCCGTGTTTGACGTCTAAACAATTGTTTTCCTACAGGTAATAAAAAGGAGAGGAATTTGTCTGCTAAGCGAAAGGACAATGCTGAGGCCCTCGTTCCCAGCAAACGAGAGCCAACCCCGACTCCCCAGCCCCCCACTGTGTTCCCAGACCGGGAGAGGCCATGTTCAAGTAAGAATTCTGGGGGCCCCCGAGCAGGGCGGGGCCTGGGCCTGGGTCACTCTCAGTAGGTGCTGTGATGCAGGAGGCCTGGCTTCATTACCGTCTCTGCCAGGGTCGGAGCTGACCTTTTGCAAATGTATTATTAGTCAAGGTCTCCAGAGCAACAGAACCTATGGAGGGAGGGGGAGAATAAGGAATTGCCTCATGCAGTTGTGAGGGCTGCCAGTCACATCTGCGGGGTGGATTGGAGGGGCTGGAGACGCAGGGAGAACCAATGTTGTAGTTCAGAGGCCCTCACACAGGAAGGACCCGTGCTGCAGAGGAAGTCAGAGGCGGTCTGCTGGAGAATTCTCTCCTCAGGGAGGGTCAGTCTTTTTGTTCTATTCAGGCCTTCAATTGATAGGATGAGGCCCACCAACACTGTGAAGGCCCATCTGCTTTATTCTACCAATTAAAATGTTAATCTCATCGAAAAACATCCTCTCAGAAACACCCAGAGTAATGTTTGACCAAATACCTGGGCTCCCCGAGGCCCAGACCAGTGAACACATAAAAATCACACCCACTTTCTTGTTCTATGACAAGAAATTGAAAATTTATTTTATTTTTCAGTTAATTTGCTTACTTTATGTGGGTAAAAATACATGCAAAGGGCAGTAAGTTCTAAAGGTACAAAAGAGCTTATAATGAAGAGTCAGTCTGCTGCTCTTCTAATGAAATGAGAGGTTATACTGAGTGTGTGACCCAGCCACCGTCGCAAGCCCTTGGTTATATCATATGCAAGTAAATTATATATGTAATTTATGTAAGCAGATCATATAAGTAAATTACAGTCCTGTAACTAGCCTTCAAGGTAGGTCCTGTGATTGTCCCCATTTCACAGACATGAAATTGAGGCACAGGGCAGGTGACTCACACAGCTGGAAAGTGGCAGGTGGAGGCCTCCATCGCTGGTGGAGTAACTTCACTGCTGTGTCCCTAACCAGCAGACTGCACACACTGAGGCTGCAGAGAAATCATCACAGCCTGGTACCCGGGGTCAAATCCAGTGGCTGGAGTGGCTCTGGGTGGTGGGGAGGGGCCCTTGCTTCTGGTTTCTATGACCAAAGGATCACAAAGACCTCAAGGCATCCTGGTCAGGAATTTGGGGCCCTGGGGTGCCCTGGGCACAATCCAGCCCCAGCCAGCCAGCCCTGTTAGACAGGCTGAGTCAGGGGCCCTGACCTCTGTGGCTGTGGCATTTCATTCATGTTTACTAGGGAGCTGGAGGGACTGTTTCCTGCAGGGACAGGCCCAGGGACCCGCTGGTGGGAACCAGCCCCTCCTCCACAGTCATGGTCCGGAGGTGGGCCGTGCACCTGAGCCTGGGGCCTGAGCTTGGAGATTTTCCCCAGCAGCTCAGGGCAGATGGAAGGAGGCGGGGGAATAGCAGAGCTCCCACTGACTTAGTGAGCATCTGTTCCATGCTGTGTAAATATTATCTTGGTTTGGATTCCCCCAGAAACAGACTCCAAGATGGGGATTCAAGAGCAAGTAATTTATTTGGGAGGTGGCTCCTGGTAGGGGATGGAAAGGAAAGGGCCCAAACTGGCTTCATCACCAAGCAAGTTCACGGGCGGTGGAGTGCCACCTGGCTGGGGAGCTGGGGGCAGGGCTGAGCACAAGCCCCCACATTGGCTGCTGCTCCCACCCCGGGGGCGAGGCAGCTGGGCCGTACACACTCTCCCTTCCCTCGGGGTGTGGCTGTTCCGGGTGTTGAGTCCAGCACTCTGGCTGAGTGCCGGCACCCAGGCATTCTCTGAATCACCCTATCACAACCCAGAACCCACCTGGGAGGAAAGACTGAACAAGACAAGACATTTTAGATGGCAGATGATAAAAAAAAAAAGTGGCTGCAAGGTAGAGTCTATATCAGGGGTGGGAGCATCCATTTGGTCTGGCCCTGCCAAGGCATTAGGGGTGAGTTAATTAAATGTTTGACCCACTATAGCAGGCTAATTTTTAAGTTGATAATTTTGTATGGTCCGAGAATGATGTTATAAATATGCCCTTGGCAGAAAAAAGGTTCCCCATCCCGGGTCTATATCAACCCATGTAACTAAAATGTCCATATGTGGGTGATGCTTAGGCACAGCCAGATCCAGGTGATTAAAGTGTCGGCACCTGCCCCTCTCCAGCTCTCGGCTCTGCACTCTTCTCCGTGCCCTTCATTCTCTGACAAGCTCACAGGGGTGGTGCGATGCCACCAGCAGCTCTGGGCTTACAGCCCACCAGCCCAGCAACCCTGGCGGAAAGTAGCATGGCTGACTGCAGCCTGACCACCTGGTGCAAACCCTGCCCTCCACCGTCTAGCTCTGACCTTGGGCAGACTCCTCAGCCTCTCGGGCCTCATTCTCCCCTCCACCACACAGGGATGTGAATAACACCCTCCTGCAAGTGTTGCTATAGGACTGAAGGGCTGGGAGATAGACTGCTTCGAGGAGCACCTGGCTCCGGGCAAGTGCTCGGCCGGGTCAGCTGGCACTGTCCTCACAGCTGTCAGCAAAGCCTCGGAGCTGCTTCTCGTTGCCTGGCTTAGGTCAGGGAGGCTCTGTGAAGGAGACACTGGTGCTGTCGCAGAGGCAGAGGCAGAGGGAGTGGGTGACAGGCAGCAAACTCTCACAACTTCCTTATAGAGACTGTTACCCGTTCTCCCATTTCACAGATGAGGAGACCGGGGCTAAGGACATGAGAGTTACTTGCCTAGAGCCGTGGTCGGCAAACCGCGGCTCGCGAGCCACATGCGGCTCTTTGGCCCCTTGAGTGGGGCTCTTCCACAAAATACCACGTGCAGGCGCACATACAGTGCGATTGAAACTTCATGGCCCATGCACAGAAGTCGGTATTTTGTGGAAGAGCCGGTATTTTTTTTTAATTTCTTTATTGATTAAGGTATTACAAATGTGTCCTCATCCCCCCATTAACCCCCA